TTTATCAATGTGTCAGCCGAGGCTCGTAAGAGCTCCGGTGAACAGTCCAAGAGTGCTGAGAGTGTGTGTGACTGAGCCCTGAACTCCTGCTTGCTGCCCCTCGGCAGCTGCCGTCCCCCGTCACACCCGCAGACCACCTTCCTCACATCTGGCCCGCCGCTGACTGGGTTTGGTGTGGCCTCGGCCTCCTCTGAGTAAGATGCGGCTCGGGGGCCAGCCCTTCAGGTGTGTGGTGAAATGGCAAAGGATGCCAAGTGCAAAGCAGAAGTGGGGCCACCCTCGATCCCACAGCCTCCCCCATCCCGGGTCCCCCTGACATCACCTCCTTGAGCCTCGGGTGCTTGTATTAAGCAGGAATTAATTATAACATCTTAGTCCTACGGTACTTTGAGGATTACACCAAATGCTCAACGGAAAGTGCCTCATACCCCCCGGACACGTAGCAAAGGCTTGGGAAGTGGTCCCGCAGCTGCTGCTTGTCCCCCTAGCAGTTGGTACTACCGCATCCGGCCTCAGGCCATGGGGCTCACAGCCCCTGGGGCTCACCGGGGCCACGGAGTCCTGGGCTCCACCCAGGGAGCACACGGCCCAGCGGCCTCTCCTCCGGAGGCACTCCCCAGCTTCCCCAGTGCCCCCCGGCCCCGGGCTCACGCGGAGGTGATGGCTCGGTACCGCTCCAGGCCAGCCGTGTCCCAGATCTGAGCCTTGACAGCGGCCGTGCCCAGCATGACCGTGCGGGTGGAGAATTCAACCCCGATGGTGGTGCGGCTGTCGTGGCTGAACTCGTTCCGCGTGAACCGGGACAGCAGATTGGTCTTCCCCACGCCTGACTCGCCGATCAGCACCACTGCAGGAGAGGAGAGATGGGGCTGAGCTGGGGGGGCGGGGGGCACCCATCAGGAGCAGGAGCTGAGCCCAGGAAACTGAGGGAGGAGCCCGGCCTCCTGGCAGAGGCTTCCAGACTGCCCAGGTGAGGGGCCAAGAGTTGGGGCTGCAGGCCTAACAGCGTTCTTGGTCTGGGCAGCCTGCACTTGGGATGGGGCGCCATCCGCGGGCTGTTTATGGGTGTCGGGGTTGAGGGCTACGAGGTTGGCAGGGTGTGTGGATGTGGGCGGGGTGTAGGTCTGGGGAGGGCACATGTTTCTGGACCAGGCCACGTGACAGCATTGTGCCTGTCTGGACGAGGAGGCTCGGTGTGCGTGCACGCGTGCGCGTGCATGTGCATGTGTGCGTGTGCATGTGTGCGCGTGTGTCTGTGCATGCATGTGTGCGCGCGCACGTGTGTCTGCATGCGTGTGCGCGCATGTGTGCGTGTGCGCGCATGTGTGTGTGTGCACGTGCGTGTGTGTGTGCATGTGTGCACGTGTGCACGCATGCATGCAGGCAGGAAGCCGCCACGCGAACACAAATGCAGGGAGAACATTTGGCAAGTGACGCATCTGGGGAGGGGGGAAAGTTCAGGGGGGTAAGAAGTTAGGATCCAGCTGTCCCCAAGGAGGGACAGTTAACACGGGGCTGAGTGTTGGACAGGCCTACCCTGACATGCGTTTTCACGTGAAATATGGGAGTAACAATACTATTTTTTGGACTGTTGCAAGAAGTAAACGAGATATCACCCAGGCTGGTAGTTGTTGGCAGGTCAGTTCTTTCATGGCCAGGTTTCCAGGACTGGGATCTATGGGGGGTGGGGGGCGTGAAGAGCCTCTGGGCTGGTGCGCAGCATCCAGGGCCCAGCTTTACCCACCACAGGTGAGTAGGGAGAGGGGGGGCTGATGCAAGGACGACCCACAAATTGCACAACCCTGAGCGAACACCCAGGATTACAGGAGGACCCCTAGGCTGGCGCCCTGGGAGCCACATATTCTGGGCGCTGGTCCCCACTTGGCCTCTCACTCGGCTAGTGACCTTGAACAAGCAGCTTAGCTTTTCTAGGTTTCAGTTTTCTTGTTATAAAATCCATAAAGCCCCCTGGAAGGTGTACAGGGAAGGAAGGAGCTGGGAGCAGTGTGGGCGTGGGTGTGTGTGTATTCCTGCCTCCCCCCTGCCGAGACCCTCATCCCGGCTCACCGCTGCCAGTGGCTGGGCCCCTAGCCCTGCCTTCACGCCCAGAAGGTGCTCAGGGCAAGGGCTTTGGAGCCCCAGAGACTTGGGCTTGAGTACTGACTTTGTGACCGTTTGTCAGTCTGCAAAACGGAGACGCTAGGTGTCAACAGTGGTTGAGCCCCTACTCCGTGCCAGGCACCGTCCTGAAAGCCTTCCACATATTGACTCTGACCCCCAGCACAGCGCCAGGAGGCAAGTACCACAATCACCACCATCCCATTTTTAGAGGTGAGAAAAACAGACACTTGGTGGAGAAGCGGCTGGTACCAGACAGCATGGCTGGCTTCGCAAACACAGAGGTGTGCCACCCTGATCCGCCTTCGAGGAAGGACGAGCCCCCAGCGCCCCGCTCCCTCAGCTCACCCCGCCTCTCCGGGGCTGCCCGCAGCCGGTGCCGACGCGAGGTGAGGACAGGACAGCACCCGCCGCCCTTTGCCAAGGCTCTGTGACCCTGTGCTGCAGTTTGGCTTCTCCCTGTGTCTCCTCTCCCTTCCTTCCGCCAGAATAGACACCTTATATCCCAAACTTCTCAGTGTCTGCTTCTGGAGACCCCAACCTGCACGAACTGGTAATCGAGAGAGCTGAGATCTGGCTCCTGACCACTACGCTTGCAAAGGGAGACATGCGTTTTGGGGTCATTATGGAGACTCACGAGCTCGGGGCTGGCACAAAGAAGGGCTCAGGCAAGGGCAGCTACTAGTACCAGGGCCGCCCCAGCCTCCCCTTCCTGGACAGAGGCCCAGAGTACTGGTTCCGCAACCGGAGTGGCCTGAGTCCCAGCCCCAGTGAGGGCGGGGCTTAGGCGGGGAGAGGCAGTGGGGAGGGGTGGCTGCACTGGGAATCACAGCTCTGCAGTCCACCCTGCCCTGAAGGAGACGTGGAGGTGGGGGTGCACGGGGGCTGGGTCTACAGGGGTCCCATGCAGGGGCTGAGGGCAAGGAGCAGGAAAGATGTATGCATACTTCCAGGAGCAGCCAAGCCGACCCTGTGACTGGTATGTGGGCCCAAGGGGGCTGCCAAGGGACAGCAGACAAGGCCCCAGCCCTCAGAGTCTTCCAGGTTCTATAGACCCTGCTCTCGATCTATTACATCTTCCCTGTCTTCACCCCGAAATGGACAGAGCTCTCCTTTCTCTTCTTTCCTGCACATCCACCCAGAAACAGGGCTTTTTCTTCTCAAGGTTATTCCCTCTTCTCAGGAGGGAAGTCCTCTCTGAAGTCTTACCTCCATCTCTCGCACTGCGCGCTTGACAATTCCTAGGGATGTGGGCTTCCTTTGCAAATGGAGCAGAGGGGCCTAACTTGGGCCCCACCGGGGAGTGATCAACATCATTATCTGCAGGAGTAGAGCACTCCAGCAGCTCCAGAACTTTTGCCCCAGTAACCAGACCCTCCCCCACTCCCTGCAGCTTGCTTTCTTCTCCAAAGGAATGATGGACCCGGGGACAGTCCTGGTAACAGGTAAAAAGACAGGAGGGGTGCTCTCTGGCTCTGACGGTCTCTCTCTTTATGGACCCCAACTCACCCTTGAAGACAAAGTTATAATCTTCCTCGGCTCTGTTCCCCATCCTGGCTCCGCATGGAGGGTACGAGTGGCTTCAGGGACGGAGGTGACAGGTCTACGCGTTGGCTCAGTACCCTCCACTCTCAGCTCTCCAGACCTGGATCCGCCGCTCCTCTCATTGGGGGTAAAGAAACTTCTGCAGGCAGAGGGCTTGAGGGCCCACTTGAGGTTAGGCAGGGCCTGGGAGGCTCAGCTCTAGCAGGTGGGGGTGCTGCAAGGAAGCCAAGAGGACGGAAGCTGAGAACAGGAAGAGCAGGTGGTGGAGACCTGGGGCCCAGGTGGGTGGAGAGATGATGACGTCAGACAGGTTAGGCAGGTTGAGTGTCTGCTCTCAGCCGGTGCTCCCGCGGGGCGGGCGGGCAGGCTGGTGGGGGGGACACGGGGGGGGGCGGAGCTGGGACAGGCACAGGACCTTCAGAGAGCCAGCTGAGGACTGAGTGCACGGTGCTAGGGCTCCTGGGACCAGGAACCTACCTGGGCAGCCACCAGTGAGTGAGAAATAGCCTCTCAGGGAGCAGAAACCTGCTTGGCCTCCTGCTTTTCCTTCAGAGGCTCTGGTGGGGGGTGATTGGGGGCACCAGGGGAAGGGCTGCTGGGGCGAGGGGCTGGGGCTGATGGGTGCCAATCACCTTGCTGCAGTGCAGAATCCTGGGAGCGGTGTTGTGGACACAGAAACGTCTGCCCCTCCCGACAGCCCAGGGCCTGGGATGGGCGGTGTTCCTCACCCTGGGTGGAGCTGAAACTCGCCGCCTACCTCTCCCCTGGGATGGTCCCTTCCTTGGGCACTGGGCTAGGGGCTGGTAGTTCCCTGCCCACACCTGCTCTAAGGACCCAGGGTAAGCAGAGAGATGGGTGGGGGAGGAATTTGAGTGCAGGGCAGAATCTGGAGATGCCTCTGAGGCCCTCTGACACCCCCTCCCTGGGATCGGTGGTCTCACGGTAAAGCCATACCGCCTGCAAAGCGCTTCAAGATCTGGAGGGTGTGAGCATGGGGTGGCCCTGGTAGGTGGCTAGTGCGCACTCTTCCAACCCCAAGGGCAGAAAAGGCACCCCCCCAAAGTTGGGACTGAACGACACTGGCCTTGCAGGGCCCTATATTCTTGCTGTCCAATAGGACCCCCAGCAGCCTGCTGCTTCTCTGAGGTCGCTCCCAAACGTGTGCCCATCAGGTGGCTGAACCGTTCAGAGGGGCAGGGCCGAGATGGTCATGTTGCTGAGGCGCCCCAGCTGTCAGAGGGCAAGGGGAGAGGTGGGCCCTCAGGAGTCTCTCCTGAGCAGTCCTCACTCTGTTCCACCTCCTTCGGCTCCTCCCGTTCAAGAAATCAGTCATCACGCAAGATAGGAGTTCAAGTTTATTCTTGGAAAAAACAAAGTCTCACCCTTCCCCCACCACCCGGAAAGGCTTCCCCAGGGGGCCCTGCCCCTCCAAATGGTCATTTATCTTTTTTGACCCCAGCTTCAGCCAAGGCTCATTATGAGGCAGCTACTTGGGTAAGGGGTTCCTCCAGGTACTGCACCAAGGCCTGGGCCTGCAAGAGGGGAGGAGAAATCAGGCCCACACAGGATCTGCCACTAGAGGGATCCCCAATCCAGGCCGGACGCCCACTGCTGAGCACCCAGCCCCTGCCCACTCCTGGGAGTCGGCCCACCGCAGACTCCAAGAAGGTGGTGGGGTAGGAGTGGACAGTGAAGAGCACAAAGGCTGGGCCCACAGTCAGAGGAACGGGTACATACACACCTTGGCCTTGAGCATTCCGAAGCCCACCGTCTCCTTGGCGTACATACACAGCAGAAGGTTGGCCACCCGGGTGATGGCAACACGGCCCTCCTGGTGGGGGGTGATATCGTGGGATGTAGTGTTCCGCTTGGCACCCTTAGCCCTCTCTTTCCCCAAGGGCTCCTCTTCAGGGAGACTATCATCTTCTTCCTTCCATGCCCTGGGCATGGCAGGGGCTTCAGACGAGGGGCTCTGGCCACAGCCCTGGACGTGGGGTCCTGAGCTCAGATTCCAGGGTCAGCACAGCCCCCTGCTAACCAACCTCCCCCGGGAAACTCAACCTCGCAGAAACTTGGTTTCTCTGTGACCCCTGCCTCATCCCAGTTGGTGAGGATGCCAGTACACAGGACAGAGTTTTGAAACTGCAGAGGGCCGTCCAAATGGGTGATATTATTATTACGGGTTCACCCCAAAGACCCTCTAAGGAGTGTGCGAGCAATTAACCTAATGCATAATTCTCTTTTCCCATGGTAAAGTTTTTCAGATTGCAGTTCTGACTCTAGGGTTCCATCAATTGAGGAGGTGGGTCAGTATGAAAAAGAAGAGAAACGGAGTGCACTGCATGTTTGTTTTAGTTGGGGGGGGGTGTGGGCTCTGACTTAACAGCTATTTCTTTGGCTGGGGTGTGGACAAGACGTTGGAAAGCTAGTGCCCTACAGCACCCACTCTAGGTTAGGCACCCAGCAGGAGTCATCAACTGAACTGAAATGGCATCCCTGGTTGGGCATGGGGTGAGGATGACGTAGGCAGCCCCGTTACAGTGGAAATCCTCTGGGAAGAGTTCACGTTTGGGCCTTTTCAGTTTGGTTCAGCGAACTTTCACTGGGCATTTGCTGTGTGCTGGGACCCAGGTGCTGCGCTCCCTCCCTCTCTGGCCTCACCTCCTACTCACCTCCCCTATTCCCATGCTGCTCCAACTACATCAGCCTCAGGGCCTTTGCACTTGCTGTTCTGCCAGAAATGCTCTTCCCCTAGACGGCCATATGGCTGGCCAACTTCCTTCAGATCTTTAATGAAATGTCACCTTTTCAGTGAGACTGTCCCTGATATGTGCCCCACCTCACTTCCGTTTCGCATAACATTTTCAATATCTCACATCCTAGTGTTTTGACTTACATGTATTTTACAGCACACATAAAACCATAAGCTTCTGTGAGAAGTTAAGGCGGCAGTTTTGGTCCCGTTTGCTACTTTTTCCCTAATCCTTGAGAACACTGCACGGACCTAAACATGTGTTGGCCGAACAAATACAAAGGTGAGTGAGACCCTTTCTGTTTCCCGGAAATTCACAGTCTAACGGCTACTTCCCCTTTCTGGGCTGCAGCTCCCTCTTCTGCAAACTGAAGGGACGGGCCGAGGATCTGGAGACTCCGCTGTGCTTCTGTGAGCCTGTGACTCGGGGTGACAACACTGTACAGTTTACATCCTTCCGTGTGATCTTCATGACAAGCCTGTGTGCGTGCACTCCTGTTGGGCGGTATTACTGTTCCCACGTTGGAGATGCGGTCAGGAAGTTCAGAGAGCTCAAGTGACTTACCTAGGGCTCCACGAATGACAAGTGGCCAGCTGAGGCCAGAAGCCCAGGCAGACACTGGGTCCCCGGCCCCCTCCTCACCACCACTTGCTGCATAGGGCCCTGCCTACCACAATGCTGCAGCAGACCGACTCTTGGTAGCCCGCAGAGATCCTGTCCCTGCCCCTCCAACCATCCAGAGTGGGGTCCAGGAAGCCCCATGGGGATCCCCTTGGGGGACAGAGGGAGTGGCTCCCCTCTCCATACCATGCAGTCCATGAGGATGAATTTGAGATTGTCTTCGTTAAACGCTTGGTTTCCGTTGCGGTCGTAGGCGGCCCAGATGTTGCTGGCGATAGCCGCGGTGACCCGGGCGTCCGTGTCCCCGTAACCGGAGTAGGCCAGCAGAGAGCCCTCGTTATTCAGCAGCCTGGCGAGCGGCGGTAAGAGATAGGGACGTGCTGGGGGCGGCGAGAAAACGCCTGCGCTCTCGCCCCACCTCCCGCCGGGGCGCTTCCAGAAAGCAGGGGTCTGGGCAGAGCGCGGCCCTTCCCGCCGGCCGCGGCCCCTCTGCCCTCCTCCCTCCCCGAGACCCTTCCCCAGCGCGCCACGGGCTCGCCTCCTCCGGCCGCACTCACAGCGTGCTCTGGACACCTCCGGTGTTGGCCTGGCTCAGCACCTGGGTCAAAGCCTTGGGACGCAGCATGCCTGCGGCTCCCAGGCCCGGGCTTCCGCGCCAGGCCCCGAGCTGCCTCCCGCGGACCTCCGCGGGCACCTCCCCGAGCTCCCCGCCGCTCCGGAACTCCGCGCGACCCAGAGGTCCCGGCGCTCTGGGGTGGCGACGCAACACCGCCCCGCCGCGGGGGGCGCCGGGAGTTGTAGTTCCGCGTGGCCTCGCGGCGCACCCTGGAAACTGTAGTTCGCCTTTCCCGGGGAACCACGTGGTCGTTGGGGGGTTAAAGAGCGGGAGCGAAAGGATAGGGGCAGGACTGGAAGGGCGTTTAACAACCCACTCCCCTCCCCGCCACCTCGGGGAGAGAAGAGTGAGTATGCCCGCTTGACAATCCACGACCAGAAACTGAAAAAAGAAATCCCGGTATTTGTCAGGCACACGTTTGGTTACTTTTCAGAGCAGTTCCCTACGTTATGCACGACCCTGTGACATGAGACCAAGGCTCAGAAAGGCCTCTGGAGCCGTACTTAGTAGACTCCGAGCAGGCCACGACCTCCGGGGGCATAGTCAGTCCTAGAGGTGAGACCTTGGGTGGACGTCCAGACGTGGGGGGGGGTCAGCCTCCGAGTCGGGAGAGGCCCGGGAACCAGGACAACGCGGCGGCGACAGGGACACGGCGTTCTGTCCCGGAGCGAGAGTCACCGCGGAGGCGGCGGGCCAGGACCGGCGGCGGGCTGTCTCGGGGAGCCCGCCCCGCCCCGCGAGG